TTGTTTGAGAACTGTCAGTTTTCGTTGTAATCGTTGCTAAGTGACGAAGTGTTGTGTTACAATAAATAAGGGTGAATAAAATGAAATATATATATATCCTTTGTTGATTTGTAGTTTCATCCCCTGTGTTTAAATAAAACAAAGCAAAAACAACAGAAATGGGGTGTGTCTAACAATCGGTTTGTGGAATTTTTTTGTTGTACAGCGAACTAGTCGCCTCGTTGCCATTTATTTTGATGCACCCTAAACCAGAAGAAGAAAAGTCAACACTTTCAACGTCACCACCAAGTCCAACGAATAAAGGCGATGGTGGTGAGGTACCGCTCGATACCAACCTCATACAACTGGACACGTAAGCCACCACTATTATCAAGTTACCACTCATTCCATTCCATCCCCACCCCCTCCCTCTCTCCCTTAAACCATTTTCGTCCTTCATCCCTCTTCAATCCCATTACCACTTTGATCGAATATTTGTTGAACTTTTCTGATTTAACCTTAAGAAGAAATCATTGAGTAAAAAAGGACACGGATTTCTTTTACAGATTTTAGTTGATTTCGCAAAAGCTCCATTTTTATTTTCATTTTCATTTTCATTTTCATTTTCATTTTCATTTTTATTTTTATTTTTATTTGTTGAACGCTGGAATGACATAAACTAACCAACCCCCCATTTTTAATTTGATTTTCATTTCCACATGCGTTTGAAAAACGGGAATCAAAAAAAAGAAAAAAAAAGAAATGTATAATTTTGTATATTAACGTTACACTCCCCTATCGTTTCCCTTTTCCGTTCGGTTTTTCAACACAGGGAAGTCGATGGGGACGACGACATCGTATTCGAGGACTTCGCACGTCTAAGGTTAAAAGGCGAGACCGATGTCTGACCGTGTTACGTAAATGATATCGTCAAGTTGCAGGCTGGAACTACCACTAAACGTCCAAAGTTTCAAGACGCCACGTCCTCTGCCAATACACGCCCTTTTTCATTTTTTATTTAACAAAAAAGAAAGAAAAAAACGTCTCAAAGGGTTCAAAGTAAATTAATAAATGAAAAGAGAAAAGAAAAGAAAAGAAAAGAAAAAAATCAATCGTTGCGTCGTTTATAGTGTATTTGTGCGTGAGTTTGTGTGAGTCTGCTGTGTTTCTGCGTGTATGTATGTATGTATGTATGTATGTATGTATATGAAATATTGTAAAAAAAAATTTAAAAAGAAGACAAAAAAAACATTTAAAAATAATTGAACATTTAAACAAGAAGAAGAAAATTAATAATATGATCATAACTCGTCGGGGTGGGAAGGGGGGAGTCACACGAAATTCTTTTTCTAATTGGTGTAAATGTTTATTAATTATTAAACATTTTATTTATTTCAATAATGAAGAAATTTGTACTAAACAATTAACGCTTATTAATATTCGTCAGAATATAACTGGTCAAACATCGAATTAAACATCTGAACTTTATGCGTGTCAGTTATAAAAGAATGCATTTTTCAACCCTTTGATTGCTATAAATACTTTTACCTTAAAATATTTTGTATAAACAAAAAAAAATTGTTTATTATTAATTATTAAATTTTAATAATAAATTATATTTAATAATTAACAAATTGTTCTTTAGAAATATAATTAATAATAATATTACACTTTACATTAAATATTAATAGACACGTGTATAACGCTGGTTACGAACGATAAGTTTAAATAATTTTTTTATCAAACGCATATATGCGTCTATAAAGCACTCTCAAAGGGTTAAAAATTGAAAATATTATTAAAAAAAAAAAAACAACAATTTACGAATTAATGTTTAATATTTTCAATTGATACTATATATTATCACGTATAAATAATTGAATTATTGTTCGCGGTAACATCGATTAAATGCACAACTTGAATTTTGTATGCGTTATTAATTAGAACGCATTTTTTATTACGAAAGTATGATCGAAGTGAACAAAGAGAGAGAGAGAGAGACAATTTTATTATCACATAAATTTACATGATATAAATTTCTTTAATTAAACGATAAATAATTTATTTTAATGTTCATTCGTTGAATTTTTTTTGTTTTTTGTTTTTTGTTACTTCGATCGCTTTACAGTTTTGCAAATATTGACCCGAAAGTTAAAAGTATAGGGGGGAGGGGTAGTTCTACGATCATAAATTTATTACTTAAATACTTTTTGAATATTGTAATGACGAAGTAATTTACTATGAACGTAACAAATAGATAAAATATATAAAAAAAGAAAAAAAGCTCTGACTTGTTTTACACAATAATTTATCATTGACAATTTTATTCCGAACAAAACTGCAAATTATTTGTGTTACCTTCCCCCCTCTCTCTGTCCCTAATTCATTCCTTTTTATAACAAAGAAAAAGAAAAAAAATAAATCACAAACCCGACGATTAATAAAAAAAAAAAAATATCAAAGACTGAATTTTAAACACACTGTTCAGAGAGAGAGAGAGAAAGAGAGAGAGAGAGAGAGAAAGAAAAAAATAGAAAAGGGTTGGTAGGGTGAAACGTAGGTGTGAATGTGTGTGTATATATACGTGTCACCATAGAAACGTTCTACCTACATTGAAAAATATTTGCAAATGTGAATCGAAGTTTATAAAATTATAAATACAAGTGCATACGTGTGTATATAACCGGAGTAATTATGGCAATGGTGTGTGTTGTAAGTGAAAAAAAAGAAAAAAAGATTGGTCAAAAATTCATTGAAATTATTGACATTGTCAAATATATAAATTTGTATTTTCACTCATACCCCGTTATCATAATTATCAAAATACAATTGACTAAGATTCTAAATGAATTTCAATTATTGTATAATATATTTGATAACATTTTTTTTTTTTTATATGCGAGAAAAATCTTTTGGATTTATGTTGAAAATTTCATTTACGTGTTGTTTGTCTGTCTGTCTGTCTGTCTTGTCAGTGGCCATTTTTCGAACGAGTTTTTCAAATAAATTGAAAACAAATTAATAAATAAACACACAATACGCACAATATTAATTGTTAAGCTAACTTTTACACATTGAAAAAATTGCCCTGACTTTTTGAACAAATAAAAATATACATACACACAAACACGCACACACACACATACAGAGACATAAATTATTTTTACCCGTATATAAAACGTTTAATTCCAAATGATCAGTAAAATAAGAATTTATTTTATCAAACGTTAAGTATGTATGTAAATATCTTTGTAAACCACACACACACACACACACACATACATGTGAGGTTTTAAAACGAAGATTTAGAAAAAAAAGAAAAATCCTTCATTTGAATTAGGCCCACGATAAAAAACAAAGCATAATAATTAATTAATTGAAATAATTTTAGAATATAATGAACAGATTTAACGTGACTTAGTTAGAGACGAGAAAAAATATTACAATTTGAATAATTTCGTGGAGAAGTCAAAATTATAAACAAAAAGAGGAGAGGGGAAATATTTAAAAAAAAATGTTTAGAATAAACAAAGAATAAAAATAACAAAAATTATCTAAGAAAGTAGTCGTGATACAATTAATTTACGAATTTGTCGTAATTAGTTAGTTGTTTTTTTTGGGGGGGGGGGGTTCTTTTTACAAACAGCTTTGCAAAAAAAAAAATATAAAAACATTAATTAGAAATACGTCGTTAATAAAACGCGTATTGCAAAAATGAAAAAGTAAAAGAAAGCTTTCGTTTTAATATAATTTTGTGGATAAAAATAAAAGAAGAAATAAAAAGAAGTGGTGTAAGCGTTTTATGAAGAAATATAATCGTACATGTGTATTGTGTGCATAAATTCAGTAATTTTAGCTTTTACATATTTATACCGATTAATATATATATACATATATATAGTAATTAAGAAACGAATTTAGGTTTTTTTTTTTTTTTAACGACATCTCTATCCCTCGTTATTAATTATCCGTAAAACAACTTTTTATACAATAAATATGAATATTATTTGTTCATACAAATTTATTCAGGTATATGTATAAAAAAAAAAAAGAAGAAAAAAAAAAGTATGAAAATTTTTACAATATTTTCTTCATTCTAAATTGTATTTTGTGCATTTGCGCATCATTTACCGGATTTGTTAAACAATTTTTTGTTTTTATAATTCATAGGAAAGAAAATCTTACAAAAAAATGTACACCACTAATATTACTATTAAATATTATACAAAATCCTTTCCTTATTTTTTTTTATAACAATATAAAAACGTTAATGTAAGTTTTTAATATGGACATTTTTTATTTTGCACTGTATAAAAATAGAAAAAGGAAAAAAAAATGAAAAAGCAAGTCTCACGTTAAAATATAATTTATTAATTAATTCATTGAGCAAATTCAATGATACAAAAATAATTATTTGCATTTTGATTATATTTGAACAATTTGTGTATGTATTATTATTATTATTATTATTAATTATTGTTTAATGTAAAATTATTATAAATATTCCTTAATTATTATTCAACTGTAGTATTTTATAATCTTCTTTCTCACGAATAGGCAAATTAATTTTGTAATTCTTTTCTTTTTTTCTTATGTATATTCTTTTTATTTGATTAATTGTGACAATATATATATATACATATATTTATTGTTAAGTAATTTAATGAATTCGAAAATTCTATAGATTATTGTTTAATAATTTAGTTAAATTAACAACACACGAGACACTAACAAAAACACACACACATACATAGAATAATATTACAAATTATTTCTTCGTGTATACTATTGTTTTATTATAATTTACTATATAATTATTATTATTATTATTATTAATATTGTTATATTATTATTATAAACAACAAAGAACAAACAAGCACATTTTGTATTAATAAAGTAAACCACAAAAACAAATATACATATATATATATATATATCATAAATATTACTAAACCATACTTACATATACCACTTTTACACCATATTCAAAATCCTATATAAAATACAGCAGCACCATTATTTATGTCACAAATAAATGTTCGATAATTTTTTTTATCTATTATTAATATATTATTTGTTTATTTAATCGAAGTTTAGAATTTTCGGATTTATGTGAAAATATAATAATAATAAAAAGAAAAAAGAATATACATAAATAATTCAATCGATATACCAAAGTGAATCGAATTTTTTTATTTTTTTTATTTTTATTCTTACAAATGATAAATAAAAAGATACTTTCCAAAAAGAAGAAGAAGAAGAAGAAGACGACGTGTGCGTATGTATGTGTGTATGTATGTATGTATGTATGTATGTATGCTGTTGTTGTTGTTGTTGATGTTGTTGTAATATGTGCGACAACAAAAGTAGACATAAATAAATAATGAAATATGTAGAATTAAATATTGAGCCACAACTATCTTGTATAAAAATAAAACAAAACAAACAAAAAAATAACAACAAGATCATTCAAATAATAATAATAATAATAATAATAATAATATTTAAAATTGAAACTAATTGATTAACATAAAATTAAGTACTTACGTATTAACGCCATCATCCTTGACGCAAACCCTGACGATTGCTGTGTACAAACAACAAGGTTGCTTTTTATTGGCGCATTTGCGGAATTTTTGCTACAATGTCGTTAATACGTAAGTAACACCCCCATAAAAAATAAAAAGAAAATCAAGAAAGGAAGAACGAATGTTTGATTGTACAGTAACACACAGTATACATGAGAATATATTTTATATCGATGCGCAGTGCGCGTAAATATTTTTTGTATGATACAACAACCCTTTTTCGACCCAACACACAAAACCCAACCCACCCCTTCACCCTATTCGCTTTCCCACTCTCTCTCTCTCTCTCTCTCTCTCTCTCTTTCTCTCTACTATCCTTTAAATCCGAAACGAAAGCACGAAAACATTTTTTATTCTCTTATATACAGGATGACGGTGACAAATCTGTGATGACAAGAAGAAAAATAAATAATAATTAATAAATAATAATAATTAAGTAAATAAATAAATAAATAAATAAAACAAAATATAAATATAAAATAAACTAACAACACAAGTCTTGATACGAATGAACAAGCCAATGTTACGTGGTATGCGTGTGTTTCCATGGTATGTTGTACGTGTGATTAGAATAATTGGAGGGAAAGAAAAATATTCAAAGTCAATATTAAATAAATAAAAAGAAGTAAAGGGGAGGGGGTGGTAAAATCGTGATGTGTCGATAAACTTATCAGAATTTTAAATTAAAAAAAAAGAAACAAGAACAATGTAAGTGCAATTCGTACATTGCCAATAATTTAATATTGCAAATAATTATTATTATTTTAATTATAATTTAAATATTATTCAATTAATTGATTAATATAATTAAATTAATTATTATATTATTATTATTATAATAATAATTAAATTTTACCAAAATAATTTTAAAAAAAATCACTACAATCGTCATTTATTTATTGCAATATCAAATAGTTGACATTTTTTCTTTTTTATTGTAAAACTAACGACACATTATTTATCAATTTTTCATTGCAAAAAAATAAACGAACGATTCAAATATCACAAGAAAAGAGAGGAGTCGTACGTAATTAATTAATTAATTAATTAATTAATTAATTAAAGCGGGAGAAACTCGTTGCGAATTAAATAATAGAATTGAGGTGTGTAATTGTTTACGATAAAATGTGTGTTTTAAAGTAATTGCAAGCGTCGTGTGTCAGTGTGTGTTTGTCGTATGGGATGATATTTGAAAAAAAAAAGTCAATGAAAAAATGAATTAAATTCTGAATGATGATGATGATGATGATGATGATAATAATGATTCATTATTTATAACATATAAACATAGTCAAATTATTTATTAGTTCATCGTTGCTTGTGTATATACATATATATAAATATTAATAGCATTTTAAATAAACGTGTATTTATTTGTCACGTTTGAATTTTCTTTCATGTATGCGTCGTCTACGTATGCGTTTACTTATATACATGTATGTGAAGTATGTAAAAAGATCATTTTGCTATCGAAATATCCGATCCAGTTTAATACGAAACAAAATGTTATTTTAATTGTGAACAATTAAAATCTACCTTCTGAGGTGTATTTACATATGTAGGTATATTTGTATTTTATATATATATATTTGTATTTTAAGTTTATACATCTTCAAGTGTATAAAATCGTAGAAAACAAGCTTATATATATATATACCTTTTAATATATATAAATTACGTGTCACGTTGTTTGTCCGCAATGGACTCCTAAATTATTGAACCGATTTGAATAAAATTTTGCACACTGTGTGCAATTTCATTCAACTTGAAAGATAGGATAGTTTATATATCTCAATTTATAATTCGCAATATTATTTTATATACATACTATATATATATATAGATTGATGTATTTATTTATTCCTCATCGCGATTTTTCACAGTAATAATTTTTCAAAGTATTTTATTTTCTAATATATCCTAAATGTTGTCTTTGTCAAATAATTCATTCACACACTTGAAACTATTTCATGTTATTTATCTCTCTCTCTCTTTAATTCATATAACAGTGTCCCTCTTTCATTTGACGAGTTCCTCCCCCTTCTTCTTCGATATTCCTCTTCCTGCATCCATCTTCGTTTCCCCCCTCGAAAATAACCTTTGACAAGCTGCATGGTACTCTAGTTTAGTACATCGATCGTCGCCCTCTCGTCGTCCGAATGAAACTGTTTCTCGTTACCGTTTCATGTTACTTTATTTCGCGAGTGTTCAACAATTTTCTTTCACTTTCGTAGTTTTTTTTATTTTTTAAATTGTCCCTGTTGTTCTTTCATGAATTCATAATTCAGATGGTTGAAACATGATTCGTGAATAATTTAAATTGACCACCATTGCTGATAACAAACAACAACGAAACGAAACGAAACGAAACGGAACGGAATTATGTTTATTTTAGAATTTAATGATAATTATTATTTATTTATGTGTATTATATTAGTAGAAGAAATATATTTGAATATATTTATACGTCACTTCTCTCGCCATTTTGTCGCTCGATATTTTTTTTTGTTTTCTTTTTTATTCTAACAATTTGAACTAAACTTTGACTATTGTCATTAGATTATTCACATTTATTTATTAAATCAATATTTTTTGTTATTTTTATTTTTATTAAAATGAGAGAAAAGTCGTATTATTCAAAAATATTTTCTTTCGCGTAAACAAACGATCCATCTCTCGCATTTATAAACGTGATGCATAGAAGATGATCTCTCTTTGATCTATCTTTGGGATAATCAATCAACGTGGTGCACGCGTTTTCTTATAATCATATGACATAGATAAACATAACATTTGCATCAGTTAACAAAGTTTACTGATTAATCAAAATGAAGTTATAATAAATGCAAAATTTAATCTTCGTATCAGATTAAATATTTATCACCTGTTAATTAATAATACAAACGATTGGATGTAAGCCATTAAAAAAAAAAAAAAAAGAAAAATAAAAAATCATGCGTACGAGTGAAAATAATTTAACATATTGGCCAAATGTTCTGACCTTGCATCGAACTTCCTGCAATGGAAGTCTTTACGATTGTGCAATTAAAGAGTGCATCACCGACAATTCTATCGATTTCGATCGGATTTGTGCATTTACTCAAAACACTACGATGACCAATTTATTATGCAGATCATGCGATTATCAAAATTGTCAAATGAACGTGTCCTTGATTTTAAATAAATGGGAAAGTAGCATGGAAAGTATTTTCTTATCCAAGATTACGAACTTTGATGGCTGCCTTTCGAACACCACCAAACACGAGGAGGTAAACATTTGTCGAAAAAAAAAAAGAAATATACATTTTTATTAATTACAATATGTAAACAAAAATATTATCAACATTGTATAATATTTCTATCAGATCCTGGAATGTTCTTTTCAAAGAAATATCATCGATGGAGAAGACATTGAGTTCTACTGTTCGCGAAATTCAACGATGAATCGTCGAACTGACTGGAGATTTCTTTTCGTTGCTTTTATCATTGTAATAGCTGGTGGTTTAGGAAATTCTTTGGTTTGTTTAGCAGTTGTATTTGATAAAAAACTTCATAATTTAACAAATTATTTTCTATTATCTCTCGCCATTGCTGATCTACTTGTTAGTCTGTTCGTCATGCCGATGGGTGCGATTCCTGGATTTTTAGGTGAGCCTATCTTTTTTTATTTTTTATTATTATCTTTTTATTTTTTTTTTTTAATTTACATATTTATTTCTCTTGTAATATTTTGTTAAAGTACATCACAGAATAGATTTCAGGATACTGGCCGCTCGGTGTAATCTGGTGTAACATTTACGTGACTTGCGATGTTCTGGCATGCTCGGCAAGCATTATGCACATGTGTTTCATTTCTGTGGGCAGATATGCAGGCATTCGTAACCCATTAAGGACACGAAGGACCTATACGAAACGTCTGGTTGCCCTTAAAATAACAACCGTATGGTTATTAGCTATGCTAACGTCCAGTTTTATTACTGTATTAGGTAAATTCTTTAAAAAAAACTTCATAAAAAGATATTATATTCAATATTATTACGCGTTTGATTATAAATGTTTGTTTAAATAATTTGCAAAAAATATTTTTAAAAAATAACAATTTTATTTACAATATTTTTGTTGAACGTCGGTAAAGTAAAAAATCTTTTGCTATCGAACGTCGATAAGGTAAAAAATCTTTTGCTATCGAACGTCGGTAAGGTAAATTTCTATTTGTCTTGTTGATCGTGGATAAAGTAGATTTCTTTCTTCGCAGGTTTGATCGATTCAAAAAGTATTATGCCGGATTCAACGACTTGTGTTATTAATAACAAAACTTTCTTTATTTTCGGATCTTTAATAGCATTTTATATACCAACAATCGTTATGATATTGTCTTACGTATTGACTGTACAATTACTTCGTAAAAGAGCGCGATTTATCGCTGAATATTCGAAAGACGATCTATCGTTTGGAAAATTAATTGGAAAATTAGTAACGACGAAAAATCCATCGACCGATCGTGAAAATGCAAGGTAATGTAATAATACTAATAATTCGAAGACAAAACAACAATTTGATACTTTATTCTCATTTTCAGATCTCTCAAATTGTTAAATGGAAAGACAACTAAAAGAATCCTAGCTGCAAATGCAATAGCATCGAAACAAAAGGCCAGCAAAGTTCTTGGATTGGTATTTTTTACATTTTTAATATGTTGGGCTCCATTCTTTGCATTAAACATAATGTTCGTTATCTGTCCAGATAATATCTTTCCACGACATATAACAGACACATTTTTGTGGCTGGGTTATGCATCTTCAACCATAAATCCTATCATTTATACAATTTTTAACAAAACTTTCCGAGCTGCTTTCGTACGCTTATTAAAATGCAAATGGTCCAGATAATAATAAAAGTCATCTTAAACAAAACAAGATTATTAACATATTAAAATTATTTTCTACTCAAAATACATTGATAAACAATGTATATGTGTTTAAACGATCTGAAATATAAGTGGTGTGCATTAGATTATTATAATAATTGTTAATTAATCGAAAGAAATGTGTATTGTTATTTAAAAGCATCTAAAGTGAATTTTGAAAATGGCGGTATAAAAACACCGGTAAGGATAGCGATCTACTTTACCGATCGTCGGACCGAGCCTTACTCATCTGTTTCTTTTTACTAATATTTTGTTTCTATTTAATATAAAAAATTACATTTGTTAATTCAAGTTTGTTAAGAAAAATACATACAAAATAAATAGATGACAAGAATAAATAAAACGTTTTAAATTAAAGAAGGTAAATTAATGTAATTTTTGTTTGTTTGGAAAGACTGCGAAGAAATAATAAATGTCACATTTTAATTTGTTTTATAATTGTTTTTAATTACTACAAAACAATGTGCCGACGTAAAAAGTACATTGATTACAATAAGTGTTTATGAGAATGTGCATTATCTCTTTAACATATTTGAAGTTTAATGTATTAGATGTTTCTTCACGTAGTGATTATTTAAATATGAAGAAAGATTGAATGTTTTCAACCGATTAACTTCTAAAATACTTCTTAAATATTTAACAAATGTTTATACGCAGATATTTAATTCGAACATGTTCTTCTATGAACTTGTTTTCCTTTTTTGTTGTTTCATATATACATAGGATAATAATAGATCTATCACAATGCCTTTCATGATTTATCTTTCATAACTTTCATAATTATTAACTTTATAATTTGTGTACTTTGATAATAAACTTCTTCTTTCAATTTTTTCTAACAACATAACTTTAATTAAGCATCTCACACGTGAGTTAATTAAAGCTATGTAATTACAATATATTAATTATTATAAATGCAAAGTAACAAATATAAGTGAAAATAATCCAATAAAACATGTCGAGCAATTTGTATAATATACTATGCAATTGTAGCATTGTTTATGCATACAATTGAGCAATTGTATATACAATGTATCTATTAATGTCATGTGTAATATATAAATTAGTAAACAAATTTCATAGTTAAACAAATTACTTATGGTTAGTCATTATAACAAAATTTCACAATATCAAATTAAAAATATAAACAAAGAAATATTACTGCACATATAATAGCATTCCTCGATCTTAACTAATATTTTAAATAAAATATTGAATAACTCTATTCGTTAGAAAATAACATTTCAACAGAGAAAGTCATTTAATACTTAAGAGTATAATTATTATCTGGTGTTGATATCTATTTTTTTTTTTTTTTTTAAGTGCGATTACTAAAATTTAAGACTAGAATTACGACAGCCAATTTTGGACAATATTATTATCAATAATGATGATGACAATAATAATAATAATAATACTAACACAAATAGAAACTATTATTTATAAATGTTCAAGCAAAATGTATAATTTGAAGCAACAATTGAAATTATACAATTTTATAATATGAATAAGCATATATGTATATATATATATATGTTCTTACGTGTATATTAATTTTTAAAGTTAATATATACTAGCGTAATAATGAGTGTATATAAAGTTTTTTTCATTTTGAATATTTTAAAAATGCTATTCGTAAAATGTGTATAAAATTTACCTTTTTTTTTTTTTTTTATATAATTAACATACTTACAATAGTAACGCGTGTTTTTTTGTTTTTGTTTTGTTTTCTATGTAGCAAAGTAATCATTTTACACAAGAAACAGCCGTCGCAAAACAAGTAAAATAATAGCCGATACTAATAATGTTATTAGTATATTCCAAAATAGATCGTTCGTAGATGACATTGTTTCTACTTGAGGATTTAAATGCACAGTAGATTGTTGAGCATCTTGACTTTCACTTAAATTTGTTTCTCTACGATGTCTCAGTTCACTTGCAGTATCCCCATTTTCAGAATTCTCTGTAAAACTTGTTTCAATCGTTGGTGTTTCATCAGCCTGTTTAAAAATCATATTCATTTGTATGATGAATATTCATCAAAAAGATAATAAATACAAATGATAATTCTCGTACCTTTAAAGCTATCATATCTAACATATTTTGTTCTTCTTCAGTAATAGGTTTTTTTATTGAATTTTTAGACAACAAATCAACCACTTTTCCACAATTATCACATTGCCAATTCAATGATCTGAAATATTAAAATTATAATAGGAAAGAACACATCACAATATCACTTTTGTTTAATTATGATTATTGATATATTATAGAAAATAATGATTATACTTTTTAGCTAGCTTTTGTCTTTCTTCAGTGCTATAATCTAAAGAACCAATAGTTCCATTGCCAGGTGTAGGCATAAAAGCAATTAATGCTAACAGTGCTGTTCTAATACTCCACGATGGTTGCCAAGTTTCTGGATGATGACCAGAAATGTTTAAACATATCTTTTTGTTTATTCTGAAACGACCATTGGGCTAAAACAAATAATTATGTTTGAATTTAACACTGATTAAAAGTAACCAACACACAAATGTCATAAATGACAAACTCTAACTCACTGTTAACAAAATAATATTAGGTGGTTTCATAGGATATTCAGGTGGTAGTAAAATTCTTCCATGGTATACACCACCCTCAAAATCAGTTGAAGGTGGACCTTGTACAGTGAAGTGCCATTCAAAAAGGTTATCGTCCAAGGGATATGCATAATACTCTTCTGTAGCTTCATGGAGTTCTTGAGCTTCTCTCATCAATCTTTTGACAGCTGAAATGTCAATTATTAAACTTTCATATAAAATGTTAAACAAATATTAAAAATACAAAAATATGAGATAAATGTTAACAAACAAACAAACAAAGAAAGAAAATAATTAACAATTCTTGCCTGGACTTTTAGCATTGTATTTTCCTTCGAATGACATTTTGAGCATAACCTGTATTATATCTCTTGTTTTTTTTTTTTTTTTTTCAAACGGTATCAAAAGTATTGAAATAATTTGGATGATCTGTTGTAAATAAAAAAAAAAAAAACAAAAATGCAATTCTGAGAATGTATTTAACAACTCGCAAATTTATAAATGGAAACAATAGTACGACCTTCTGCACCGTTTACATTTTCATTTGCGTACGTGGCGATTTGGGATGATATGCCATAAGCCTGTTAGTATATCGTCTGTTAAAAAAAATGACGGAATTTCTTTTTTACGTTTACTCAATTTGACGTGGCCTTTAGCCAAAAATATGTGCTTTTTTTTTTTTGATGTGATGAAAAAAAAAAACTAAACTAGTCTGCCAAGTTGCAAAAAAAAAAAATAATATCAACCAATAGCAATGCCAAATTCAATGAATCTAAAATAAATATATATTATTGTATAGATAAATAAGATAAGTGGGGGAGTATATAATTCAACTCGTTCGTAATTATCGAAATCGTTTCTTATATTATCGAACCTCGTTCTTAAAATATCGAGAACTCAAGTTGCCAACTTCAATCGATATCATTTGACAAGTAGTTTAAATGGCGTCCTAGTTACAAAAGTGCAAGTGTTGTCAAAATAATTGTTTCATTGTGTCATTGTATATAAAAAGAAAACAATAATTCACGTGGAAAGTGTAAAGAAAACGAAGGAATGTAATGTATATAATTATTAATTAGGTTAGTCGTTTCAATAATGACATTTGTCGAATATAACCTCATTTTATTTATCTAAATATTATATATCTAATAAAGTACATAATTATTAATTAAGTTAGTCGTTTTAACAATAATATTTATACAATATAACCCTTTTTTGTTAATTTATTTAGTATTCTATAAAAATGAATTAATATTTTTTCAAAATATTCGCATATATTTTTAATAAATTAAAATAGAAAAAAATAGAGATGTAGATTTTTGAGAGATTCTCTTTTAACATTTTATTGTTATATTATTAAAGCATATAAATAGATCGGTTGTAACATTTATCATTGTTAATATTCTTAATATAGGATAAATTTAATTGTGCGCAGACATCATTCTGTACTGCTCTTATAAGCATATATTTTTTATTATACATTGCCAATATGCTTATTTCTAAAGTTTTACACATAAAGAACAAAAGTATATCACATTACTTAGTTTGCGTGGATTTTGAGATCAAATATTGTTCATCTCAAAAAGTTCTTGTACTATTTAATACAATTTATAAAATATTAGCGTACAATAATTTAAAATTTGTATGCTTTACTGCCAATTGTATCACCAGGGTTTTTACAGCATAGCAAATATTGGGTAACGTTGTTTTACATTTGTGCAACATATGATTCATTCGCATTACTAATATCGTAAAAACAAAAACAAAGGTAATCCTTGAATTTCCAATGAATAAAAAATCTATGCAAAACTGTAATATTACATTTATCTATGATTAAATATCATTAATATCTTAAATAATAAACTTTCTAAATTGAAGAATTATTTGATTAAATAATCAAATCATTTTTTGGTCCCTATAATGGTTAAAATCATTGTTTCTTTTTTTTTTTCATCAATCAAATAAAATAGGAAAGAATATGTTGAAAATATTGTTTATAATACTATAGAGATCATTATAATATTTAATAATGTAAAAAGTACCCTGATATTTGTAATTTACTGACTTTCAATTGACAAATAATAAAAATAATTATTTTATATGCAACATTTTATAATCTTAATTAGATTTTTAATTAGAGTAAAAAATTTCATGTTATATAACTTGATACTATTTCTTTTGAAACATTTGGTTGTTTTTATAAATTACTACCATTCGTGGTAATAATAAATATTACATTTCATATTTGATTTTGTATTTTTAAACAAATATAACTAATTATTATTATTATTATTAACTTAATGTAATATAAAAAAGTATTGAAGCACTTATAATATATATATATACATATATATGTTTAAAATATTGCAATTTATCGAATCTATAAGCGTGCTAATGAATCATTGACATCATTTTAACTGTACTATTGTCATTACTGTAACTGTATCATAAATTTTTCTTCTCTCATTAAATCAGCAAATAAATTCAATACTCTGCGTGTGCAATTGTAAAAAAAAAAAAAATACAAGTTAAACATGAATAGATCAATTGATCAATTGGTTAATTTCATTTAACACTTAACAAGTGAATATTTCACTATTGTAATAATGTTAAGGCAATTATTCTACATCAATGTTTGTTATTTTTATAAATATTTAGAATCTTTGTGTTCAACATACATAATAATAATAATAATAATAATATAAAATAAGTAATGTGGGAGGCAAATGATCTATCAATTTTTAAGGAATATTTTTGTCTTCTTTTATATTCCTCTTTTTTTATGTTAACATTAATATACCAACACCAACGTGGTGATACATTATTGTGAGTTATATGTATAAGTGCATAAAATGCAATTCACCAAAAAATGATAGTAATATCAATGCGTATTATCGAAAGCAGTTTAATTTAGGTCAGGGGTTTGGCAACCTTTTGAGTTGGAAGAGTCAAAAATTACAATTTACAAAATTTCAAAGTTTTTAAACAGCCACAATATTTGTTCACATTCAAAGAGTCGCAGGTTGCCGAACCCCTGGTTTAGGTGAAACAATTTTGATTAGTCGGATAAGCTTTTTGAAAACTATAATAAATCATCTTATTTTGTAATACCAAAAAAAAAAACAAATAACTTGTTAGATAAAATATGTGTTAGAATTTTAGCACCTTCCTTTTTTTTAAAAGCTTTAATTTATATAATACCACAGTTTGTTACGTTTACTTTACATTAAAGTTTATTTATGTATATATACATATATATATATCTATAATTTTATTTTTCAAATAATCTAAGCTTTAATGTAAAGCAAGCAAATCAAAAGGAATCTTTGCCAAGGCAAACAATTCCTTTTGTTTTATTTTATTTTATTTTATTTAAATTTTTTTTTCTTCCTCTTTCGTCATAATTTTATCTGTAGATTAATTATCGAAATATTAGAACTTACAATTTGTCAAATATTGTATCGCAACATACATACATGATATGCTTAGCTTAAAATAATATTTTGTGTGATTCTCTTCGTTCTATCTCTTCATATTATTTTTGAAGAACAATAAATTCAAAATAATGTATACACTAAAAAATGTATGTGAACCGTTCAGTGCACACGACATTCGATTATAATTCGACTTTTTGAAAAATCTTAAATTTAAGTATCAAAGTACACTTGGTATAGTAGTCGTCATAACTTTTTTTTATATTTATAATAACTTTTCAGAATTATAAAGACACATCATTAAACGACAACATTTTTTTGACCATTGAAAGGAATTCTCAACCTTTTTGTTTTATAGAGTTAATCGATGTGTGTTTGTGTGTGCACTGAACAACTCATGTATACGTGTTTTGCATGTATATCTTTTGAAATAAATAAAAAAAAGAAAGAAATATCAGTTATAATGGAACAACAACAACAAAAAAATATATAAAATTAAAATCAATTAGGAAGAAAGTTAAAGTTATTGTCTGTTAAAAATGATTATCTTCAAAACAATTCCATTTTGTTTTTTAATTATTTGTATATATAGAAACATTTGAAATATATGAAGGTGCACGAGGAACTATCAACAAAACCTTAAATCTTCTTAACGCTAAAATAATCAAATTAGGCCATAGAAATATGAAATATATCTGTTAAAAGTACAATTGGCATTCAAATAGATTCATTTTTTTCTTCTTTTTTGTTTTTTTTTTTTTCATTTATCACATTAATCTTTATAAGCTTGTTTTATACGTCTAGAATTTATTTATTTATTTATTTAATTAATTAATTAATTATAATTTTTGTTTCTAAAGTTATAATATTATATTTTTGGTATTTTTCCTTTTTTTTTTTTTTCTTCTTTTTTTTTTTAATGTTTAGTATCATTTGGTCATGGTACTTTTGAATCTGTTCAGCGCCAAATTACTTGTGAAACAATTTCAATTCCAATTAACTTTTCAAAATGATGAACAAGTGAAAATAATAGATAGAACACATTTGATCATCTATTATTTTACACTTTTCTCTTGTCACAATTACCCCCCTTCCCTTCCCTACCCTTCCCTACCCCTCCCCCCTCCCCCATGTGTTGTATATTTTATATAATAGAAAAATACAAACAATCCTCTTAAATACAAATGAATCTTTTATCAGCTATCATTAGTCCATTCTCCAGTTTCTTTTAAAGCCCTATCCGTTAATCGTTCTATTTCAGTCAAAAGCTGTTCAGTCTCCATATCAACACATACCATATCAGCTTCTACAGGATCCCATTCTAAACTGTTTGGTGTTGATACTCTAGACCAGGGAGATGCTGTCAAACTAGAAGGTTGACTATTATTAATTGAAGTTTGTGATTCATCGGTACTAATTTTATCATTATCCATGACTGGCAGTGGCAATCCTTAAAATAAAACATTGATACATTTATTTGGTTTTTGTTGTTGTTGATATCTCATAGATGTAAAAAAAAATTACCTTCGTGTTCCCATTCAAGATCTAACGAAGAACCAGGTGTCGAAGAAACACAAGTTTGTTGTTTCATCAAATTTCGAACATCAAGTATTTGTAATGGGGTGTCTAAACCGGAACTAATGGAACAACATTTGATTATCATTAAATAGATATGTTTAGTTTGTTTTGTTTTTTGTTTTAGATTATTTCAAAGAAGTTTTATGTATACCTTGTTGAAGGATCATTTCTAGAATTTAATCTGGCATATTTGTTGGAACCTCTTTGCCATCCCCCTTCGTCTAATAACTCTAAAGTCACAGGAACTCCATGTTTTTTCTAAAAAATATATCAACTAGAAAATCTATCGAAATATTAATATTAATAATAATAATAATAATAATAATAATAATAATATACATTCTATCAAGTATCTTTTGCAAAATTTTGCAAAGGCTGTAAGTATGTTGCATAAGCAATTAAACATATCCATTGAAAATTTCATACAATTTACAATTCAATTTCTTTTCTAATTAAGTTTAATTAAATGATGTATTTTAGGATTAGAAGAAGCTTCATGAAAAAGTAAATAAGGAATTTTATACATGCAAGACATTATACTTGAAAATAGTGTGTGTATATTTTATATACAAAGTTTACTTTAGTGTATACTTTATAATATTTAAGTTTAAGATTTAAGTTTTGATATTAGAGTTAAGTTATTAAATTATTACACTATATAATGTATACTTATACAAATTTATACAGTGTATATATATTTAGTGTACATATTGTATACACATAAATATAATGTATATATTTACAGTGTATATACAAATCTAATAATACCTTGAATATTGTTGATTTAATCAAATTCTTGATAACAAATGTAAATTTTGTCTATGAATTGAAATGAAATTCACTTTACAAATCTATACTTTTTCAATTTGATGAAAATATGAAATTACCTTAAATTGCTTTAAGGAGAGAAACGATAACAGACTGTCCAGTAAGCGTAAGGATCAAATTTATAATTAATACAGAACAACTTCTTACTTGTTAAATTAAAACAATTTTGATTCTTACGTTTTTGATCCTTTAGGTTGTTCTCTATCTTCTTCTCCATCTATAAACTACAAAATTAACAAACATGTTATACATTAATTCAATCTATAATTGTTTAGTTCTGTATTTTTCTTTTTTTTTTTTTTCAATTGTATAAACAATTTGTAAATTTTCATGTTTTTTTTAGTATCGACACTTTCAATTAAAAAATGACATGCAATGTGTATAAACATTCATTGAGTATTTTTTTTTACAGTCCAATCTTATAGGATGATACAGTCCACTACTTCTTATACAGTTAATATTTTATATTAATTAATATCATCAATTGAAAACATGCATACTACACATATTGCATATTTGATAGATTTGCACCATAAACATTCTTAAACAAAATGCAATGAAGAGATGAAAACAATACAATTAATATTTACCTCAACTTGTTCGTCTCCTTGGCAGGACATGCTGGTATGCCTGCGATACAACCTTAAATTAAAACAATATATTAAATAATTAATTTGTCATTTAAATGAATATTACACAAAATGAAAAGAACCACAATGAAAGATTGTGAGTGTGAAATGTTGATTGTCAATAAAAAAAAGAAATGCAAGTGTAGACTGAATTTGTTGTATTGTTTTTTTTTTTTTTTTAGAGTAATAATAATAATATTTAACCTGTAGGATAACGAGTCGGAGACTTTGGCAAAACATCGGCCGAAACAGGCCCCCATGACCTGTCAAATCACGGCGTCTTGCCGTCGGCGTCATCTAACCGATCTATAATGAATATTTAAATGCCAGTCTTTAATTCCACACGTTTACACGCCCGTAAATTGACTGTTGTTATTACAACGAGAGAGACAGCGCCCCGTTTATTGTTGTGAATGGTGGACGTCAAATAAGACAGATCATTCTCAACCATGTTTGATGGTACCATATGAATAAAAGCAAATACGAACGAAACAGCTGCCTCCTGTCATGCGCGATTACTCACCCCCTTTTTACAACATGCGCGTTACTTATTTCTTTTTACGTCACTCTACTTATGAATTCAAATTGTTTATTATATTTTATATATATATTTATTTTTTTTTGTTACTATAACTTTTTATATTTTTCATTATTTATATATGGGGCGTGACAATAATTCAATACACTTTAAATATCTCCTTTGTTTACAATTGTAGTTAAAAACCTTTAAAGGGACAAATTCTTAAGGGGATTCCCCTTCAGGGTATTCTTGCAAGTAGATCTATGTTTTGTTAAAATATTCTTTTCCTTTTTTTTTTTTTTTTAATCAAATTTCAAAGCTTCGATATTTCTTTTAAATTAAACAATATATTTTGTTGTTATTATTGTTGTAAAAAATAAAAAAAATTAATAATTATGTATACAATCAAATATATGTCGTCCATCTTTATTTAAATGCCTTTTAAATATCAGATAACAGATCATGACGTCATTCCACGGTAAAATTAATTAAAATAAAAATTAATTAATATTTTTACCGACTGACGGGATTCGAACTCACGATGCCACGATTACAAGCCGAAAACCTTAGCACCGAGCTACGAACAGTTCTTGGAAGATTAGTCTTAATATTTTTATTTATGTGACAGAATTTATAAAAATTTATAAGATATATTTATCTTAAGATTACACAACTCTGTAATTATTATTTTATACAGAAAAATTGGTTTTACATGCTAGAAATAATTTCAACAAATTATTTGATTTAATTGAAGTATAATTCTATTAATTTAAATCTCCTACACAGACAGATTTCTTTTACAATACTTTAATGTAACTTTGATTTTGAAGATAGATGTGAGTTTCATTAAAAATTATTAAAAAAAAAAAATACACACAATATTTACAAGATATTATTTATTAATGACAAAGGTACAACACTTTAAATAAATTAATATATATATATATATGTCATGTTTTTAATTATCTATTATATCGTCATTATTATTAAGTTTTGAAAAAGTTCTAATCCTGTCAAATAAAAATTGCACCTTTGAGAGGAACGTGTATTGGTGATAGTTGTTTAGTTAAAAAATAAATTAAATTATAGTTATATTATTTCGTTAGCTTGTTGAAAAATATATGCACGTTATTTAATCAACAAGATTCAAAAATATATCTCCAGAATATTAAACGTAACAAGACACTTATAGATCTAGTGGTTGTTGTTGTAATTAACATTTTGATATTGTGTAAAGATATTTGTACATTTGTATGTATATTGCATAATAATATATATATATATATCTATATGTATATATAATTCTGTAATTTTTGTTTCTGTATATTACTTACACACACACACCCACACACAAATTGTATCGTAAAATAGTTACAATTTACATTCAATTTTGAAATAGTATATTGTAGATGATTAATTTTGAAGCATTTTATTATATTACATGCAAAATCATTTTATTTTGTTATCTTTTTCTTAATAATTAAAAAAAAAATATATATATATATATTTATTTATGCATAACATAAAACGTGTGATTCTATTAGTGTTTACAGACAATTAGATGTATAAATCTCTATACATTCATTGTTACATCGTTTGAGTATCTTTTAACAAGAGAACTATTGTCTTTTATATATTTTTTTTTTTCTATATAATGCAAAACTACCTCTTATCAACGATTTTAATTTTAGTAACTGTTAACATATGTTTTTTTTCTTTTTTTTTTTATTTGTACGCTATTTTTGTAAATATTATATTTGCTAATGGACAATGGTATGTTTGCTGCACTCGAACTATGATTTTAATGTGTATATCAGAAAAATAATTTTGAAAATATAAATTCTATTTTGATGTATCACCATGTATATCTTTTGTATACATATATATATATTAGTAACGTTTAACTCTTTGGGGCACACGGTGGGATTAAAAGTGTCCCATTTTTTTGATACACCGTAATGCACAGTGGGACACATTTGTAGTCCTATCTTGAAATATTGCAATAGTTGCATTCTCATACATTTATATTTCGTCTTATTTTCAACAAATGTTACAAATATAATTAAATTATTATTCTTTCCTTTTTTTTCATATTTTTACATTATTTAATACCTTTATTAATAAAACTAGAGCCTTTGTGTTCGGGGATTGGGCGTAGGTCTGATTACCTCAAGCCGTAAAAAGACTTTATCAAGAAACAAAGAAAACTACCATGGATTCTACTCGGTAATGAAATTTCGAGTTCCTAATACCAGTTAATAATAATAATAATAATTAATAAAAACTATACCACAATAATGTTTCATTGAAAACTCAATCTATGCAACATTGAGCTATTTTATTATTATCTGAAGTTCTGTACCGCAAAGAGAGTTAAGTGAGTTTTAAACAATTCTCACTTCGTTAACATTTTTTTTTTTTTATTCATAATTACATATATTATATTATTATTATTATTATTATTACGTAGATTTAACAATGTTTAATATCTTTCGACAAATTTAGAAACACGAGTTATATGTCGTAAATAACATTACTTTCATTAATATTAATTATCGTAATGTTTAATTAGACGATTGTTTTTTTTTGTAATTCAAACAAGACACGAAGAAGACTACATTATGTTTTTCTTTTTTTTTTTAAATGAAATATGAGTTGACAAGAAGAAGGACATTGCCAAAATTTGATTTGTAAGTTATATGTATAAGTTATATAAATAGGGGGGGGGTGGAAGAGGGGAAAAACAATTCTAAATACTTTCATGGTCGCAAAATCTTAAATTTTAGCAAAAATGTTTTAATGATATATGCAATCAGTTTGACTCAGAGATCAATTAATTAATCCCAAGAGTCCGTTTTCATTGCAAAATTATGTTTTGAGGTAGACAAGTATATTTTCCAAATAGCTTTTAGATAGCTTTTTATGTAATGCTAAACTGAAATTACAAACTTCATTATTTATCAAAGAAGTAATATTGGCATCACAAAACAACATTATTATTATTATTATTATTTTTTTGTTTTTTTTTGTTTTTGTTTTTGTTTCTTCTTATTTCTACATTTCTTAATAAAATCACAAACACAGTTTAGCATTTAATCTTTGTGCAGAGTATAAAGATTACTAAAATCTGATATACTTTTCGACTCTCATGTATTATTATTATTATTATTATGTTTTATAACAGTGAGAACATCAAATTATACAATTTTTCAAACTTTATCATTAATAATTTATTAAAATAATCAATTTCGAAGAGACACAGATTAAATAAATTGTTAATTGTTGTATTATAACATAATACTGAAACAAATTATAAATATATTCAAGATAATTTATAAATTCGTTCTCATTTGTATTAAATAAAAGATATTTCGTTTTTTTTTTTATTTTATTTTAACGTCGCATTTTTAATATCGATTTTAAATATATATTAGATTTGTTGCATAACGAATAAATTATATAATAATACTTTTTAGGACTTAATTTTGTATATATAAGTATCTTATTTATTAAAAAGTATTATCTAAAAATTCTATGTGTTCTTTTTTTTCTCATTTTTTTTTTGGTTTTTGTTTCTTTTTTCATATTAAGCAATCAAACGCGAATAATATATGCTAATAACATATGACGCAAATACTGCAAATGTTTATTAAAACTTATGTTGCACAACCAATGTGCACTTCTGCATAGACACAATTACCTTAAAATTAAGGTACCAAAAGTACGAGGTATCGATATGTGTACAAATTATACAAGTGGTGCATCATTACCAAGATCCATTTCTTCAACAGTTATATATAAACCTTCCTCTTCGTATGTAGATTCGTGTTTCGCTAAAACTTTCAACAATGGTCGTAATTTCATCCACCATTGATACGTCGGAATGCGATGCCTGTAAAAATATTAATAATTAAATTAATATTAATAATCTATATAATCTCGAATTTATTTGATAGAAAATAAAGTTATTATTATTTCAAAATAAAATAGGAAAGAATTTCAAACACTTACTCGAAATCAGTAACTTCAATAAGTTCTGTGAATGGTGTGAACCTATATTGTCTTCTAACGACACCTAACATTACTGCACTAGTTGAATCAGTCGTATAAGTGCGTCCTTCAGCGTTAGTACATTTTTTAAATTGCTCGCTAAACCATTCGACAGCTTTAGAACCCATTTTAGTACCCAAGTTACGATCGAAAGGAGTCGGTGAACCACCTTGTTGCATATGACCTTTTACATTAAAACAAGGAACATTAATTTCTCTAATTTTTCTACAACTTCACAATATCCTATTTTTTTTTAGCCATATATCAAATAAATCTATATATTACGTAAAAATTACCAATTATATTCATCCTACAACTGAACAATCCTTTTCCTTCTTCGCTAAACAGTCTTTGCATGAAGTCAGTGTTATAATTCAAATTAGCATTTTCATTTCTAAGAATAAGTCCTCTCTGTACACCCTCAGACATTTTTGCAGCCATTGCTATTACATCTTGATTTAAATCTTTGATATTGAATTTCTCCTCGAATATATAAGCTGCATCAGCACCACCAGCTAATCCTGCTACTGTTGCTAAATAGCCACAATAACCACCCATTGTTTCAATAATAAATACACGACGTTTAGTACCTTGTGCTGATTGACGTATACGATCACAAATCTAAGAAGACAATTATCATATATAAATAAAATGTTAAATATTATTAATAATTCTATGAGATAGAATTTGAAAAAGAATACCTCAGTAATTTCATTTAAGGCAGTATCACAGCCTAAAGAAAATTCTGTTCCAGGAACATTGTTACTAATAGTAGCAGGTATCATAGCAATAGGAATCCTAAATTCTTCAAATTTATCTCTTGCGTTATAGAACATAAGTCCTGTTTGATAACCCTATTAATAAAAAAAAATAACATTTGGTCAGAATAAAAAATATAAATAATAA